ACTTGTTTTTGAGAAACCCATGTTGATCTTTAGTGATTATGGCATTCCTTTCTAAATGTTCACAGACTCTCGGTTTAATGAGCTGTTCTAGAATCTTTCTCAGTACTGATGTTAGACTAACTGGACGATAGTTGTTCAGATACTTTTTTTTCCCTTTTTGAAGATGGGGACAATGTTTGCCCTCCTCCAGTCTTCTGGGACTTCTCCTGTTCTCCAGGAATTGTCAAAAGATTATTGCCAGTGGTTCTGAGATTACATTTGCCAGTTCTTTTAATATCCTTGGTGTAGTTCATCTGGTCCTGGAGACTTAAATTCATTTAGGTTAACCAGGTATTCCTGTACTTCCTCTTTACTTATTCTGTGCTGCATTTCCCCTATCGTGTCCTCTACTCCATTTTCCTCAGCTTGAGCACGCTTATTCTTTTGTGAGAAGACTGAGGCAAAGAAGGTGTTGAGTAGCAATGGCTTTTCTCTGTCCCGTTAGAATTTCTCCATCTTCTCTGTGCAGTGGCTCTACCATTTCCTTCTTTTTTTCCTATGGACATACCCCCCAAAAGCCTTTTTTGTTGTTCTTAAACTCTCTAGTAAGCTTGAGCTCATTCTATGCTTTCGCTTTCCTGACTTTAGCCTACATGTGCCAGCTGTTTGATTCCTCTTTAGAGATTTTGCCCCTTTTCCATTTCTTATACATCTCCCATTTAAAACTTAGTTCAGTTGAAGGTTCTTTTGTCATCTAAACCAGTTTCTTGAGGCACCTCCCATTTTCCCTTCTCATTGGAACAGTCTGAGATTGTGCCTTCAGTATCTCCCTTTTGAGAAACTCCCATCCATCCTGAACTCCCTTCTCCTTTAGTATTCCTGACCACGGGATCATTCCCACTGTTTCCCTAAGTTTACTGAAATCAGCTATCCTAAAGTTTAGAATGAGTGTTTGACTATGCCTAGCTTCTCCCTTCCACTGTATAAGAAACTCCAGGAGAACATGATCACTCCCACCTAAGGATCCCACCACTTGCACCCCATTTACCAAGTCATCCCTGTTGGTTAGGATCAGATCTAAAATAGCTGATCCCCCTGTTTCCTCTTCCATCTTTTGGATAATGAAATTGTCTTCAAGGCATGTGAGGAATTTGCTAGACCGTGAAGTATTGGCTGAGTTTGACTTCCATCAAATATTAGGATAGTTGAAGTCACTCATCACTACTACATCTCTCCTTTCCGAGTGTGTGTGGTCATCTGTTCTAGAAAAGCATCATCCAATTCTCCAGTCTACAGCGTCCAGAGATGTTTTTTTCTGTGGTAAGCCAGGGCATTTTCAAAGGACATTTTTGGTAGTGAGCCAGGACATGTTTTTTCTGTTGTCGGTCATCAACAACCATGCTCAGGTTTTAGAAACTGAAATTGTGGACTAAAAATTCTTAAATTCCTTTTTTATTTCTTCTTACAGTAATACACAAGTTTATTTAAAATACAAGTAAGTCTACCTCTGAATCAGAACCACACAAATTAAAATTTATTCTCCTCTGCTAAAGGATGCCAGTGTGTGGATGATGAGTGTTGCAGTGATGCTCTCTGGCACCCAGCAGAACCTGCAGGACAAGCTGGCTGCTGTGAACCACAGCCACTTTGTATCTCTTACCATCAACTGGCTCAGCTTCCCTTCTGCAGGATACTGTCTTCCTCAGTCAAGAAGACACATTGTAAAGTCCATAGTTTATTAATGCATATAAAAGTAAAATAAGATAGCTAAGTAAAA